ATGCTCCCCGACTTCATGACGTCACCTCATGATGTCTGCCTGACGTCACCTCGAGATGTCTGCTGACGTCACAGTGCTGCTGACGTCATCACACCTGACATCACATGATGTCACATCGAGTGTTTCTAGTAATTATTTAATTATTGTCGAGAAGACTAAGAGAAGATATATGTCGTGTGTTAATTCCTCTCAGTCAGTGTTCTCACATTTTAGTATAAGTTTTAGTGTCAGTTTTGTGTACAGAAAAGTATCATTTGCTAGTTAATCCATGTTGTACTGTATATACCGCGGGTGTGTAAAGTTTCTGTGTGTCCAGTGAGGTCTGAGCCAGACCTGAGTAGCACCACTGTGCTAAGTCACCCGATCTGACCAGTGCGTATGACAGCTGATGTCAAGACAGCCCCGAGTGACCGAGCCCTCTTGTACAGAAAGCTTTTATGCTCGTCACTCGTGATGTTCTGCAGAATCGTACCTGCTACGATTCCCATCAAGATTTGTTTCACTTCACCTCCAGACCATCAGAGTGCAGTTATATGTAGAGAAACAAGTCTGGGGACGCTTAGACTAACCTCTGCTATAACTCCAACTGCCGAGAGAATGATACTCGCTAAGCCGCAGTTAGCCCTGTCGGCAGGCGCTGTGTCAGCCTCGTGTCACAAGCTTCAGTGAGCAGCCTGCGCAAAGAAGATGTCACTTTGACTGCTAGCTCTCTCACTGCAGTCTGGTGTATGATGTTACGACTCCCAGATGTTTCACCCAGTCGTCTCTGCCACGACTCGCTCTACAACTCGCTCCACGCTCGCCGGCACTGACAGCCCAGCGACAGCACCAGTCGAGAAGTGTCCTCCAGAGTCACTTGCCAGAAGTGCTGCCCAGTTGCCGAGTTTTGTTGACGCCTCACTCGAGGGCACCAGCATGTCGTGCCCCAGGTTGAGTGAAAACCTGCAGCGACTCCTACGATGACTGATTCACCATTCCAGAGGAGACCGTACCCTGTTACATCACAGCTCAGCGGCAGCGATGTCTCCTGTGTTGCAGTATCTGTCCAGATGCAGGAAGGCGTGCAGTGATGCCTTTCAATGCTCACTGCCTATGACCACAATGTCTAGCACACCCCACATGTTTTTTCTTCCCTCCCTGTAGGATGTTTTTTTTCCATGTCAATATGTATAAGTATGTTTTTATTTTGTGTTCTGTGCCCTGTGCCTACGAGAGAGAGACCGAGTTTCTTTTACCACCAGTATTGTCGCTTCGGGACGACGCATGGTAGGTGGTCGAGCATATGTAGACAGCCTGTACTGTCTGCACAGACAGCCCATGCTGTCTTCCAGCTTTGTTCATATTTTGTGCCATGCTGGTGCTGCCACTTATAGGCATTGCCACTTCAGCCTACCTGCCCTTGCCTCACTCTCAATCACACAGCGGCCTAGCAGGAAGACACAAGGCCTACTCCTAGCTCCTCTCATGGGATGGCCCTGCCCGGGCAATGGGCACAACACACAAGCCCATGTACCCACCACGACTTAACAATAAAGTAAGAAGCCTCCGAAGACGTATCATTTACTCCCCACTACCAGAACACCAAACAAACTTGTTATATATACTCCGTCTGCAGTCTTCTTTGCCCTTCCCAAATCTTCATGACTTTGCACTTGGTGGGATTGAACTCCAGGAGCCAATTGCTGGACCAGGTCTGCAGCCTGTCCAGATCCCTTTGTAGTTCTGCCTGGTCTTCGATCGAGTGAATTCTTCTCATCAACTTCACGTCAAATGCAAAGGGACACCTGGAGTCTATTCCTTCCGTCATGTCGTTCACAAATACCAGAAACAGCACTGCTCCTAGGACTGACCCCTGTGGGACCCCGCTGGTCACAGTTGCCCACTCTGACACCTTGCTACGTACCATGACTCGCTGCTGTCTTCCTGACAAGTATTCCCTGATCCATTGTAGTGCCCTCCCTGTTATCCCTGCTTGGTGCCTCAGTTTTTGCACTAATCTCTTGTGTGGAACTGTGTCAAACGCCTTCCTACAGTCCAAGAATATGCAATCCACCCACCCCTCTCTCTCTTGTCTTACTGCGTGTGTGTGTGTGTGTGTGTGTGTGGTTAGGTTAGGTTAGGTCACAGGTTGAACATAAATAGCAAAAAAGGCATAATACCGTGACTGGAACGATACACAAATAACCCGCACATAGAAGAGAGGAGCTTACAACGACGTTTCGGTCCGACTTGGACCATTTATGACCATTGTATGAATCTTAGCCCTGGCTTCGTCTCTGTAGATGCCTTCCTCTCCCACTACATTGTAAAATGTTCTAAACTTCAGAACAACCATGATTTAACCTCTTTCCTCATTTTTTCTTCTTCTCTCTCTTCCCCTTTCCTCTTTTCTTTTTTCTCCTCTGGGCTGTCTTTCTTCTGTCTTGTGTTTCTGTTCCTTCATTATTTATTTCATCACTTTCACTTCCCCCACCATTATGCACTTGCTCTCCCTCTGTGGGCACCTAGTTCCCTTGCAGTGCTCCCCTTTCTTTGTATTTGACTGGCTCCTCCTCAATTCCCCACTACTACCACCACCACTACTACTACTACTACTACTACTACTACTACTACTACTACTACTGCTACTACTACTACCACCACTACCTCTTCCTGCCTATATATACCTGTCCTGCTCCACTTCTGGTTAGTGTGACTTTGTAAATGGTCCAAGTCGGACCAGAACGTCGTCGTAAGCTCCTCTCTTTTATGTGCGGGTTATTTGTGTATGCAACATAAATAGCCTAACCTATCCTAAACTTGGTAATACCTTGCTAGTGCTAGTGGCGCCTCTCAGTTTCACTGTGGTAATTTTGCATCGTCTGCCTACTCATTTGGTACTAATCCCTCTAGGATTTCCCTAGCGTAAATAATCATTTATTTCTCCCGCCTGCATTCTAGGGAATATACCTTCTCAGTACATTTTCAAGGTCAGCAATTTCACCTGCCTTGAAAGGTGCTGTTATAACGTGCACAGCAATATTCCAGCCTAGATAGAACAAGCGACTTGAAGAGTGTCATCATCGGCTTCGCTTCCCTAGTTTTGTAGGTTTTCATTATCCTTCCTGCCCTTTTTCTAGCAGATGCGATTGATACGGTGCTGTGGTCTTTGAAGGTGAGATCCTCTGACATTGGCATCCCAGGTCTTTTACATTAGCTTTTCGCTCTGTTGTATGGTTGGAATTTGTTTTATACTCATATATAATTATAATTTCCTCACGTTTTTCTTATCGGAGTAATTGAAATTTCTCATCATCGAACTTCATATAATTTTCTGTGGCCCATTTAAAGAATTGGTTGATGTCTGCCTAGAGTCTTGCAGAGTCGTAAATGGAGGACACTGTCATGCAAATTCGGGTATCATCTGCAAAGGAAGACACGGCTTACATCCTTGTCTATGTCAGATATGAGGATGAGGAATAGGAAGTGGGCGGGTACTGTGCCTTGTGAAACAGAGCTTTTCGTAATAGCTGCCTCAGTTTACTAGTATTCTTCGTGTTCCATTTGTTAGGAAATTATAGATCTCTCTGTCAACTTTTCCTATTATTCCTTTATCACGCATTTTGTATGCTATTACACCATGGTCACTCTTGTCAAAATCTGAGAATACTACTTCTGCATTTTGTTTGTATTATGGAGCATCCAGACCTTGTCATAGTGGTGCAGTAGTTGGGACAGACAGGTGAGTCCTGCTCTAAACCCATATTGCCCTGGGTTGTGTAACTGATGGGTATCTAGTTGAGTGGCAACCTTGCTTCTTTGAACCCTTTTAAAGATTTTTATGATATAGAAAGGTTTTGATACAGTAGACAATGGAATCCTACTCCACAAGCTTGACCATAATGGTATAAGAGGTCATGCACTTACATACTTCAAATCCTACCTTACTAACAGGTATCAATACTTCTCCATTAATAAGGACACAACCTCATCATCATGACCACTTGATACTGGAGTGCCTCAAGGAAGTGTCCTTGGTCCCCTGCTCTTTCTCTTATACATCAATGATCTTCCCAAAGTATCACAACACCTGAAACCAATTCTCTTTGCTGATAACAAGACTTATGTCATCTCCCGCCCAAATCTTGCCTCACTCAACACCACTGAAGACTCCTGAAAATATCAACCTGGATGACTGCCGATAAGCTTACATTTAACACTGACAAAACCTTCTATATTCTGTTTGGTAACAGAGCAGATGCTGCAAAACTCGACATTAAAATCGACAGTGCTCCTATTGCTAAGCATAATGAGGGCAAATTCCTGGGCCTACACCTTGATGTCTACATATTTGTCCAGTATAAAAGTTGCCTCTGTATTAAAATGGTAGGTTCATTTTGTCTCGTCTTCATTGATAAACAGGTGTCGCAATTGTGTCAAATTCATCATCTATCTGGTATTGTTTGCCCTTATTGTATTATTGTGATATCTTGTTCTGTAATTTGGCATGACCTACTTCTATTAGTGGCTCCTGCCCACTTATGATGATGTCTTTAATTACTGCATCTCTTCTCTGGCTACAGTATATAAGTCTCGGACTTATGCCTTTGCTTCATGACTAAGAGACTGAACACCTATTGAAGCATAAGGACTGAAAACCTTTAAATTACCTCTGTACTTCTTCCTCTCTCCAGTATAAAAGCCCCTCATGTATTAGGCATAAAAGGTTTCTGAACAGGTTAAGCATTTCGTCAGGTATCCTCTTCATTAAAACTAAAATGTTCCACTTCATTTTTGCCAACCACTTCACACTCGTTATTGCATTTCTCCCATGAATTTATAATTTTATATTCTCTTGAGAAATGCAACTTCTAGATATTTAGATTTTTCTAAAATGTTATTTTACATCTACAAGTTTTTTTGAGGAAGCTATGCTACCAAAGTAATATTTAACATTCCACTTATAACAGGACATTAGCAAGATATTTCATAATCATTGACCACTGTCTACATTTCTGCAGATGTGGGTCAGGTTTCCGTGTCTGTCGACTGGGAAAGGCAGGACTGCAACATATGTTACTGAAGAACACCTTCTTGAAGAATATACCAGAGGAGCTCATGTGGATGCTGACGGAGAATGTGCCAGCGGTCGGTGTGTACCTTGATCCAAGTGTAACAAAGGAGGTGTTCCTCGACATTCAGAATTTACCCTATGCTGGAGACAATGAAATTCCAGTGTCTTGGATTTCTCCCACCGTTTGTGGTTATCTGGGTATGTTAGGGACAGAGAAAGATTTCAGGAGACTGGGCCATGCAACTCTGGTAACAAGAGTAGCAGCCAGACTATTAGCTAGTAAGGGTTGCATCCCTCACTGCCATGTAGACATCACAAACACAGCTTCTAAAGAGATGTTTAATAAGATGACAGGATGGGAACAAACTCACTCAGGATTATCTTTCACGTCTGCTGAGAACAAACAAATATAAATTAAAAAGAAACAACTTAATATTTGAGATTTGTTTGAAATGTGTTCAAAATACTCGAAATTTATATAAATATGATATCCACTTCTCAATAAAATGTTCTTTGAAAAGATTTCCTCTTAAATGACCCTAATGGAAATAAGTCACTCTGACTATTTTGGGTTATCCCAGGTCCTCTACACATACAACAACAACAACAACAACAACAATAATAATAATAATAATAATAATAATAATAATAATAATATAATAAAGTTCATTTGGACATGATACATAGTAGTACAAAGAATTATAGTAACTGGATGTACATGCCAAAAGCCCCTTGTATTATGGGCAGGCTTAAAATTAATTAAAGATTAACTAAGCAATGATAGATTCAGTGGTAAAAAATACAGTAAACATTTTACAAAAAGAAGTACAAATTAGTATTTTAAACAATGAAATTTGAATATTTCAATTATGAAGCTTTACAGTTGTACAAATTTGTAGCATTACAATATATAACAAAACAAAATGATCAATTTACTATATGTAGTCATACAATTTATTTATCAGATCAAATCGAATAAAATCAATGATTTGTTGTGCAGAATTAGCTTATATGGTCATTAGATGAGTTACTGTGCATCCAAGAGAATGGATTATTCTATTAGGTAATGCAATCTTTGAGCATTTAATTATAGGGTTATGAGGCTAGGGGAATAACACAGTGTTTAATTATATTTTGAGGGAGTAGAAAGTGTTTTGATAATTTTGTAGTTAGAGTTAAGTACTGTGTATTTAGTTTTGGTTGAGTAAATGGTTTTTAAGATGAGTCTTGAATTGATAAACAGTGTTTCTTTTGTATTCACAAGTAATGAGTTCCAGATTTTTGGGCCTTTTATGTGCATTGAGTTTTTACATAGTGTGAGATGGACACGAGGAACATCAAATAGTGATCTGTGTCTTGTGTTATGGTCAATTGTTCTGTTGAAGTTGGTAAGGAGAAGTTTGATGGGAGGGTTTATATCTGAGTTTAGTGTTCTATGAATGTAGTAGGCACAATAATAAGTATGGATGTTTTGTACGGTGAATAAGTTTAGAATTTTGAATATTGGTGGAGTATGTTGCCTGGAGTGGGAATTTGTTATTCTGACTGAAGCCTTTTGTTGGGTAATTAATGGTCTGAGATGATTTATTGTTGTTGAGCCCCATGCACAGATTCCATAGGTGAGATAGGGGTAAATAAGTGAGTGATACAGGGCCAGGAGAGTTGATTGTGGAACATAGTACCGTATCTTTGATAGTAAGCCTACAGCCTTGGAGATTACCTTGGAAATTTGTTGTACGTGTGTTTGAAATTTGAGTCTATTATCAAGATGGATTCCTAAGAATTTTCCCCTCTGTGAGCTTTGTGATAGGTGAACCATTTATCATTATGTTAAGTGGAACATTTGTAGTTTTGTTCCCAAACTGAATGAAGTATGTTTTGTCAATACTGAGAGAAAGCTTGTTAATCATCTTCCAGGTAGATATTTTCTGTAATTCAGTATTTACAGTAATGGCTAAAATGACTGGCCTGGGTAAGAGAAGATGTATGTACTGTCATCTGCAAATACAGTACTATGGGCTTGAGTAGCTGAGATGTATTTGGTAGGTCGTTTATGTAAATGAAAAAGAGAAAAGGGCCTAGGACACTTCCCTGTGGGACACCAACTGTAATTGGTTGCATGGAAGAGTTAGCTCCATTTGTGAACACATATTGTCTTCTGTTGCTGAGGTATGACTTTAGGTAGTTGAGGGAATGCTCTCTTATACCATAGTGCGATTATTTTATTTGGAACAATATATGCTGCTATATATGATAATCTCTGTAACTGTATTTGTGTATACCTGAATAAACTTATTTATTCTTAATATCTAGCCAATTCTCTGACCTCTCTTATGATGATAATTTCCGTTCATGAACCAAAAATGTCTCAGCTCTGATTTTACCCTCAATATTTTCACTGCAAAAACTCACTACACACACACACACCCACCCACATACACACACATGCAAACACACACACACACACATGCAAACACACACACATATGCAAACACACACACACACACACATACTCACACACACACACACACACACAAACACACACACACACACACAAACACAAACACACAGGAAGGAATAGACTCTGAGGTGTCCCTGTTTGCAGATGACGTGAAGTTGATGAGAAGAATACACTCGATCGAAGACCAGGCAGAACTACAAAGGGATCTGGACAGGCTGCAGACCTGGTCCAGCAATTGGCTCCTGGAGTTCAATCTCACCAAGTGCAAAGTCATGAAGATTGGGGAAGGGCAAAGAAGGCTGCAGACGGAGTACAGTCTAGGGGGTCAGAGACTACAAACCTCACTCAAGGAAAAAGATCTTGGGGTGAGTATAACACCAGGCACATCTCCTGAAGCGCACATCAACCAAATAACTGCTGCAGCATATGGGCGCCTAGCAAACCTCAGAACAGCATTCCGACATCTTAATAAGGAATCGTTCAGGACCCTGTACACCATATACGTTAGGCCCATATTGGAGTATGCGGCACCAGTTTGGAACCCACACCTAGCCAAGCACGTAAAGAAACTAGAGAAAGTGCAAAGGTTTGCAACAAGACTAGTCCCAGAGCTAAGAGGTATGTCCTACGAGGAGAGGTTAAGGGAAATCAACCTGACGACACTGGAGGACAGGAGAGATAAGGGGGACATGATAACGACATACAAAATACTGAGAGGAATTGACAAGGTGGACAAAGACAGGATGTTCCAGAGATTGGACACAGTAACAAGGGGACACAGTTGGAAGCTGAAGACACAGATGAATCACAGGGATGTTAGGAAGTATTTCTTCAGCCACAGAGTAGTCAGTAAGTGGAATAGTTTGGGAAGCGATGTAGTGGAGGCAGGATCCATACATAGCTTTAAGCAGAGGTATGATAAAGCTCACGGCTCAGGGAGAGTGACCTAGTAGTGATCAGTGAAGAGGCGGGGCCAGGAGCTCGGACTCGACCCCCGCAACCTCAACTAGGTGAGTACACACACACATACACACACACACACACACACACACACACACACACACACACACACACACACACACACACACACACATACACACACACACACAAGAGAGAGGGGTGGGTAGATTGCATTTTCCTAGACTGCAGGAAGGCCTTTGACACAGTTCCCCACAAGAGATTAGTGCAGAAGCTGGAGGATCAGGTGCATGTAACAGGGAGGGCACTGCAATGGATCAGGGAATACCTGACAGGGAAGCAGCAACGAGTCTTGGTATGTGAAGAGGTATCACAGTGGGCTCCTGTGACGAGCGAGGTCCAACAGGGGTCAGTTCTAGGACCGGTGCTATTTTTGATATATATGTGAACGACATGATGGAAGGAATAGACTCTGAAGTGTCCATGTTTGCAGATGATGTGAAGTTGATGAGAAGAATTAAATCAGATGAGGATGAGGCAGGACTGCAAAGAGACCTGGACAGGCTGGACATGTGGCCCAGTAACTGGCTTCTCGAATTCAATCCAGCCAGTCTTGAAGATTGGGGAGGGGCAAAGAAGACCACAGACAGAGTATAGGCTAGGTGGACAAAGACTACAGACCTCACTCACGGAGAAAGACCTTGGGGTGACCATAACACCATGCACATCACCGGAGGCACACATCAACCAAGTAACTGCTGCAGCATACGGGCGCCTGGCAAACCTGAGAATAGCGTTCCAATACCTTAATCAGGAATCGTTCAAGACAGTGTACACTGTGTATGTTAGGCCCATACTGGAGTATGCAGCACCAGTCTGGAATCCACACCTGGTCAAGCACGTCAAGAAGTTAGTGAAAGTACAAAGGTTTGCAACAAGGCTAGTCCCAGAGCTCAGGGGAATGTCGTACGAGGAAAGGTTGAGGGAAATCGGACTGACGACACTGGAGGACAGAAGGGTCAGGGGAAACATGATAACGACATACAAGATACTGCGGAAAATAGACAAGGTGGACGGAGATAGGATGTTCCAGAGAGGGGACACAGGGACAAGGGGTCGCAAATGGAAGCTGAAGACTCAGACGAGTCACAGGGACGTTAGGAAGTATTTCTTCAGTCATAGAGTTGTCAGGAAGTGGAATAGCCTAGCAAGTGAAGTAGTGGAGGCAGGAACCATATATAGTTTTAAGAAGAGGTATGATACAGTTCAGGAAGCAGAGAGAGAGAGAGGACCCAGTAGCGATCAGTGAAGAGGCAGGACCAGGAGCTGAGCCTCGACCCCTGCAACCACAAATAGGTGAGTACACACCACACACACACACTGCGGGGAATAGACAAGGTGGACAGAGATAGGATGTTCCAGAGAGGGGGCACAGGAACAAGGGGTCACAACTGGAAGCTGAAGACTCAGACGAGTCACAGGGACGTTAGGAAGTATTTCTTCAGTCATAGAGTCACCAGGAAGTGGAATAGCCCAGCAAGTAAAGTAGTGGAAGCAGGAACCATACATAGTTTTAAGAAGAGGTATGATAAAGCTCAGGAAGCAGAGAGAGAGAGAGAGGACCTAGTAGCAATCAGTGAAGAGGCGGGGCCAGGAGCTGAGTCTCGACCCCTGCAACAATAATTAGGTGAGTACAATTAGGTGCGTTACACACACACACACACACACACACACACACACACACATACACACAGACACAGACACAAACACACATACACAAAACTGCTGCAGCATATGGGCGGCTAGCAAACCGAAGAACAGCATTCCGACATCTTAACATGGAATCATTCAGGAAACTGTACACTGTGTACATTAGCCTCATATTGGAGTATGCAGAACCAGTTTGGAACCCACACCTAGTCAAGGACATAAAGAAACTAGAGAAAGTACTAAGGTTTGCAACAAGACTAGTCCTGGAACTAAGGGGTATGTCCTACGAGGAGAGGTTAAGGAAAATCAACCTGACGACACTGGAGGTCAGGAGAGATAGGGGGGATATGATAACGACATATGAAATACTGAGAAGAATTGACAAGGTTGATAAAGACAGGATGTTCCAGAGATGGGACACAGCAACAAGGGGACACAGTTAGAAGTTGAAGACACAAATGAATCACATGACCAAGGTGTCAAATTTTCGGAGAATTGGGTGGTTCACAAGGAGAAGGAAGCGGCCACTCGAAGTAATTTTCAAGGCAGAATCAACTCGAACCATGATCCTGCAGAGAGAAAGCATGGCTGAGACACAAACTGGAATTCAAGAGTGTGTACTTCGACCGAGAAAGAGCACAAGAGGAAAGGAGGATACTGAAAGACAGTGCAAAAACGAAACGAGGAATGGGAGGAAGTGACAAAGAGAAGCAGAATACTCCAGACACTGGTGGAAGGGCAAACACCTTCCCCCCCCAGAAACACCAGCAGAAGGACTCCAACCAAGGCAACCCCAAGGCAACTGAACAATCTAAGCCAACAATCACACACCGATCTCTCTGTCCCCACCTCCTAAATCACGAACCCCAACTCTACAGCAACCCCCCATGAGAACATCTGCCGCCACCAAAACCCGCCATAGACCCCCGCCCCAACCTCAATATACTCCCAGGACCACAGTTTTGGAACAGAAGTTGAAGGTTTGGTACACGAGCACCGATGGAATAACAAACAAATATGAGGAGTGGCTTGAAAGAATCAATGAGAAGTCCCCAGACATCATAGTAGTCACAGAAACGAAACTCACTAAGACAGTAACAGATACAATCTTCCCACAAGGATATCAGATCCTGAGGAAAGACAGAAGGAGCAGAGGGGAGGAAGGGTTGCACTGCTCGTGAAGACCAATGGAAATTTATTGAAGTGAGAGCCATGGACGAGATTGCAGAAAGAGAATACATAGTAAGTACACTTCGATCTGGGGAGCACAAGTTAGTCATTGCAGTCATGTATAATCCACCACAGAAATGCAGGAGGCCAAGAGAGGAATATGAAGAGAGTAACAGAGCAATGGTGGACACACTGGTTGAGGTGGCAAGAAGAGCTCACTCGAGCAGAGCAATGTTACTGGTAATGGGCGATTTCAATCACAGGGAGATCGATTGGGAAAACCTGGAACCACCCAGGGGTCTCGAAACATGGAGAGCCAAGATGATGGATGTGGTACTGGAGAACCTTATGCATCAACTTGTTAAGGATACTACCAGAGAGAGACAGGGGGGAGGATGAACCAGCAAGACTGGACCTTGTGTTCACCCTGTGCAGTTCAGACATTGTGGACATCACATTTGAGAGACGCCTAGGAGCTAGTGACTACGTGGCTCTGTGCTTTGAATACATAGTAGAATTACAAGTGGAGAGGGTAACAGGAGTTGAATGGGAAAAGCCAGAATATAAACAGGGGGACTACTTAGGTTTGAGGAGCTTCCTGCAAGAGGTTCATTAGGGCAGAGAACTGGTAGGAAAGTCTGTAAATGAAATGATGGAATACAAGACAACAAAATGCAAGGAGGCAGAGGAAAAGTTTGTTCCCAAGAGCAACAGAAATAATTGGAAGACCAGAACGAGCCCCTGGTTTACCCAACGGTGTAAGGAGGCAAAAACTAAGTTCAATAGAGAATGGAGAAAATACAAAAGGCAAAGAACACAGGAAAATAAGGAGATTAGTCGAAGAGGCAGGAACGAGAATGAACAGGAAAGGATGGAGGAACAGCGACAGTATGAAAATAACAGCATCGAAAGTCAAGTCTGACCCGAAATTCCTGGACATCCACATTAGAAGGAAGAAAACAGTCAAAGACCAGGTGATCAGGCTGAGGAAAGAAGGTGGGGAACTCACAAGAAAAGATCATGAGGTATGCTAGGAGCTCAACACGAGATTT